CAGCGTCCCCATTGCGATGGGCCGGGGTTGCCGCCGCGCGGTTCAAGTCGGGGCCGGGGGTCTCCGAAGAAGGGCGTGTGCGCCCGAAAGCTGGCAACGAACATCGTTCCCAACTATTTAGTTGGTCTGATAAAGAGATCGCATCTACCCCAGGAGCCTGGTCTGCCCGCCTCCTTAGACCGCCTCGGCTGCAACCGGCCTGCCCTGCCCTGCCCGCCACAGCCCCCGGCACGCCGCCTCCTGGGCACCTAGGCCAGCTCCCGTTGCTCGCTCGCCTCTGGCTCGTGTGATAGGTAGCTTTCATGGATGGTTTTCATACAGCCTCTAGTTAAATCACATGGTTTATCCTTTTGAAGACGCACTATTTTTATCTTGTGCTCCATTTCAGTAAACCCAGGCTTGGTAATGTGATTGTTGTGATCCACAGGTGCACCTCTACAAGTTTTTTAGAACAAGACTATTGAATGCCCCATAAACAGGCTAAGTACAATATTTTTCTTTCCAACTAGGAAGAAAATGATAGGAAAAGAATCCCATGCCCTCTCGATCCAAACCAGTAAGTGTTTGTTTTTTTTTAATTGATTTGTATATTCATTATGACTCCCGTTGCTTTTTTTTTCCTCTCTGATTTTGGGCAGAAGGCAGGGCAGGGTTGCACCTTAGAGATCAACTCTGCTGGCCTCTGATGAAGTAGGCTGTTGCCTACAAAAGCTCATGTCTACCTGAACAAGTTACTGTATAAGGTGCCACCCTTGCCCTGCCTTCTGCCTGACTTTGTCCTATCACAGCTAACTTTCCTCTCTCTGATTTTAGCACAGTATATGAAGATCAACTACAAAAGCATTTGAAAAAGTGTAACTCAAGAGAGAAACCAAAGCCTGTAAGTACTTTTGTAAATTCAGTCCCACTTCTGGAAGTGAAAGAACCATTTATTATACAAATACATACAATTTATCATGGGATTGGGAACCAGAAAGCAGTAATCTCAACATAGAAAGTTTTTATTTTTGTATAAAGGGAAAAACCAAAAATGCAGTGGCAATGCATAGGGGATGCGTGTGCACCCTCTGAGAGTGCTGGTGCACCCAGACAGCCAGTGCTTGCCGCTTAGGGGACAGGCTGGGGGGGGGCAGGTGAGAGGGCTGGTGGCGGGGCACCCCCCCACCCCACCTCTGCCCGAGAGCACTGGCCAGGGAATAAGGGCGCCAGGAAAACCGATCCACCCAGTCCCCCTGTGGCCAATTGCACCGACCCAGAAGTGCCAGTGGCATGCCGCTGGTACTTCCAGATCAGCACAGTCAGCTGTGGGGCACCCTCCACCCAGTCGGTGCAATTGGTCCCCCCAGTCACTGACTGGCTGGGGCTGGGGTGGGCAAGTGTGTCCCGTCCCCCCGACTCAGGAGGCACTGGTCACCATGCAAAGAGGCATAAATACTGTATGGAACAGGATTCGTGGATTGTGCTGTGTGCGTGTCCCCCAGTGTCCTAATTTTGCTCAAAGCAAAAGACTCTATTTTCCTATGGTAAAGATATGCTTCATTTGGATATATATGGGAGCAAGTAAGTAGCTCTTGCCTGTTTTGGGGAACTGGATGCAAGTGATCCTTCACTGGTCTAGTGTTCTGCAGCATTTGATAAACACTACTGCCAACAAACTTGTTCGAGTAAACTGAAGGTGCCCACATAGATGAAATATCAACATTCAAGAGATCTGGAGAACTTCTGGTAAAATAAACACTTGATTACTGAAGACTTGGATATTAAAATAAAATATGAAGTGGTGGCGCAAGTGTAATATAGGATTCAATTTTTCAAATGTTACTAGCATAGTAGATTGTCTGTCTGTGCTACAGTGCTGCTGCTGCCATAGCTAAGGGGGCAGCGCTACATTAGTACAGCTCCCCGGTATTGATGCAACTTTGCTGGCAAAAGGAGGATTTTTGCCTGCAATGTTACATTACTCCCCTGAACAACAGAAGCTCTGTTGGTAGAAGGCAGCTTCTGCTAGCAGAGACATATCTGCCTTAGGGGATTCTGTTAGTGACGCTACATCAGCCGTAGGGTCTAACTCTGTCATGCTCCTTGCCAACAATGCTAGCAGGACTTTGCAAATTCAGAGTCCTCAGTCTTCTTGAAATATGTTAAATTAATCATTGTTATAATAACCACAAAAACTACTGAAGAATGTTTTCACAATCAAGCCCTAATACACTAATAAAAGCATCTTCTTGGAACTGTTTTCTTCATTTTAATGGTTTGACTTCTGCTAAGTGAATTATTATTAGTGCATTGCACATTCCTTTGGCTTTGTATGCTATTCTCAGCTATGAGTCTACTTGATTTTCATGCTGCTGTTTGTTTTATTAAGGTCTACTATGTTCAAGATATAAATGCAGGTTTAAAAGATGTAACAAAAATACCTGAAGAGCAGGTGAGTCCATGTTTTCATTCTATAACTTGTTTTTCACTTATTGTGCTTTTTTTATAACTAAAGAACAAAATAAGAGGAAAGCCCTTTATTTTTTTTTAATTTTTAAAGCAGGTACCAATTTCTTCTCTGTCTAAAGAAGAGTTACAGGATTTAATTAGAAAACTGAAAACAGCAAGTAATGGTGAGTGCTTAATTTTGGGGTGAAATATTCTAAATTGTGTTCTGTAGAACTAATCAAATATTTTGTGACTATTTTGGTGTTGAATATCTGCAAAGATTAAAGAACAAAAGGAGATTAATAAGAATACATATTTTGTCACTTCAGGCATATTTTAGTATTAAAGAACTACCTGTGTCATGTTAATAGCTAGTATTTTTCCCCTTTCTCCATCTAGTTTGTTCTTTTGAGCACAAGTCAATGTTATTCTTTTGCTTTTAACATACATGAGATAAATTATATATTTGTTCACCTTCCTGTTTGGGTGCCAACTTCAATAGTGATGGCTGTGTACTGCTCTGGGAAAAAGCATTTGCCAGGAAAATTGCTTCTGAACAAGCAGCAGGCAATCATGTATTTATTCTTGGTTATTTTGTTTGTGCCAAAATTAGGGTAGTTTTCTAAATCTTTGGAGATACTGGGCGTGTCTACACACATAATTAAGGTGCAACGATAATCTCCAGCATTTATTGCAGTGGAGTTTATTGTTCCTGGGCATGCTGTTTGAACGTGTGCCTGGGACCACAGCATGTTGAGCCAGGTCAGAGCAGCCCTGGCTGGCAGGGGCCCCAGAGATCAGTCTGCCAACCTAGAGCTGTTCCTGCCCAGCTCAGCATGTTGCAGATGGGCCAGCTGGGGCACAAGGGTGCTTCAGTGCAGGGTTTAAGTGAAGCCCCTGCACTGAATCATCCTTGTACCCATCTAGCTGGGTCAGCATCTACATGTGTTGCACAGTAAAAAAACAAACAAACAAAAAAAACCTCTGCAGCAGGATAGTACTTGTATTTACAAGTACTACCCTGCCGTGGAGTTTATTAGTTTACTGCACCTTAATGAGGCTGCATGTGTAGATGTTGCAATGCTTACTGTGGAGCAATTAGGGAGCTCCACAGTAAACATATCATGTGGACAGACAGACCCACTGTGAACTAAACCCAAAAGTATATGAAGATCAACTACAAAAGTGCTCGTCTGAAACTTGAAGGACGTGACTGATAAGGATATTTCACTTAGAGAATTTAGACTTACCAGTTTTTAGGCATATACCAATAAGTGTCTCTTCATTTTGTTGTTTCAGATGCTTAGTGTCAGCACTATAAAAAGATTTTGCAAATTAAGTAACACATAGTTATTTCAGTAGGAAGATGGAAGCCAGAATGACATTGGGTAGCCATTTTAATTGAGCTTAAAAGATATTCTTCTGCATTTTATACAGGTATAAGTTCTATACTTAAGGATCAAACTCTGTCCCATCAGGCCTTAAAAGAAGTTTTAAATGACCCAAAAAATGGAGAGTGTGCTTTCAAGCACTTGAAGCAACAGGTACTGTCACTGTGTTACTAGTAACAATAGCTTCCTTTACTATAGCTTTCTTCCTGTAGGTTCTAGCTTATCTGTAGTACCATTTTGTCACATAAAATATATTTGATATGGTTCCAGGCTACCCTTCTACAGTTTAAGAATAGCTGTTTTGAAATTGTAGCTGTTAACAAGGGAGGTTTATTTTGATCCTGAAATAAATAACAAGCATGTGTGAGTTTTCAGGATGAGTTCCATACTTTCTGTTTATGCTCTTAACTTATAATAAATCCAATTTTAGCCACAAAAAAGGAAAAGAATTAATTATTAGGTAAGCAGTAGTAGAATATCCTGACTTTTCCATTCATTAGAGTGCAGAGAAAACATGAGAGGGGTCAGAAAACAACGAGGTTTGCCTTATAGCTTTTTTCTGAGAATTGTCTGCTGGATAAGAGGGATTTTTAAGGGGAATGAATGAGTAGGGGTGAGGCTGCCTAAAGGTAACAAATCCTGGAAAGGGAGCTGAAGAGTGATAGAGGCATATGGGTCCATGGGAATGATAGGCTCCCCTGCACTACCTTATTGGGACCTAATTTCCATGGCAGCACAATTAAATGAACTACATCTTTGTAGCAGCCACAGGGAGACCACTGCAGCACTAATGCCTCACAGAGGTCCAATTCCATATCTGTGTGACTATTGTAAGGACCAGCTGAGAAAATAATGGCAGTATATGCCAGGTTGCTAAATTCATTTCCAAAAACTAATGGACGAACTTCTATGGGAATGGGGAGAAAGGAAGGATGATGCTAGAGAGAGAGTTTATTTCTTCTGCTGTCCTTGCCCATACATTTTTGGAAGAGCTATTCATGGTCCCAAGAGGTTATTTATGAATTAAGAGCTATGGGAAAAGGCTTCTAATTGGTAAGCTAAATCAGCAGTTTTCCATAAAAATTGACACACAGAGTATGTATTTGCTTGGTTCATAATCATTTGAAGTTTTGTAGGCTTCTATTTTAGGTCATATGGAACAGTTGCATTTACTTGGGCCAGGAAGATGTTTTGTTGAGTTTGGAGCTGGACGAGGAAAGCTGTCTCACTGGGTTGATACTGCCTTGCAAGATACTGAAAATGTTCACTTTCTTCTTGTGGAAAGGGCAACTACAAGATTTAAGGTAGGACAGGATGGTATGGAGTTAGCTAAGACTTCCTGGAGTTAGTAAGCCTGGTTAATGTGATATTTGCTCAAAGTCTGATTACCTCTGAAAATTGAAGGTAAAAAGGGTTTATCTCAACTAAGACCTGTAAAAATGTCAAAAGTTTAACTGACTCTTATTGTGGTTCTAAGTCTTGCTTATAACACATTTGCAATAAA